TAGTTAGAACAATATTCTTGGTTTTTTTCAGTTTGTGGGTCCCCAACAATAATTGACACTTACCTTTAATGAAGATCTGGTGATGATTGATGGGATGGGAGGAGGGGAGAGTGTGGATGGTGTTAGTGTTTAGAAGGGGAATCCCCTTCCATTAGGACTTGAACTGGCAGCCTCACCATGCCTTACCACACTGTGTATGCCACTACGATTCTTAAATCTTTCAAACCAACCTTTGCTGGCCTTAAATTCACTCACATCACTACTAGTTGCAGGCAATTTCTTTACCAAATCATCATGCACTCCGACACACGCACTCTACTTTCGTACTTTGCAATTATCTCTTTCTTCATTTCAGTAGTCATTAGCACCTTTTATCTCGAAGGGTTGGCACTAAAAGCTTTCTTGGGGCCCATGGTTACTTATTTTGCAGAAACAAGCACCAAAAACAGTGATAATATGGATAATATGGAATGTACCGAATGTATCCTTATATGCACGCACACTGGCTGGCTTGTAAACACTGGCACACACAGGGCAGTTCAGGCCACACATGGACACATCTCGTATGAATCGTATCGAATTTCGGGTTTTCCATAGAATGTTGAGGCGAATTTTTTGCGTTAAAATGCATCGAATGTCGGATTTATCGAATGTCGAAGGTCCACTGTATTAAAATTAATTTTTTTTTTTTACAAGAAATATACATTTAACTCTACCCCACCACAGCACACCTCTACTCCCCACAACAACATACCTCTACCCCTACCACAGCATACCTCTACCCCCACCACAACCTAACTCTACCCCCACCACACCACACATCTACCCCCACCACAACATATCTCTTCCCCCACCACAACATACCTCTACCCCCACCACAGCATACCTCTACCCCACCACAGCATACCTGTACACAAACCACAACATATCTGTACCCCCACCACAACATATCTGTACCCCCACCACAACATACCTCTAACCCACCACAACACACCTCTTCCCCACTAGAGCATATCTCTACACCCACCAGAGCATATCTCTACCCCACCACAACATACCTCTATTCCCCACCACAGCACACCTCCACTCCCCACCACAGCACACCTCTACTCCCCACCACAGCACACCTCTATCCCCACCACAACATACCTCTACCCCCTCCAGAGCATACCTCTACCCCCACCACAGGACCCCAATGGAAATAAGTCACTATGTCTGACTTTTTTGGGTTATCCTAGGTTCTCTACACATATGCTGCTATGTATGATAATTCTATGTAACTGTATTTGTGTATACCTGAATAAACTTACTTACTTACTTATTCTCCCCATCACATCACACCTCTACTCCCCACCTCAGCACACCTCTTCTCCCCACCATAGCACACCTCTTCTCCCCACCACAGCACACCTCTACCCCACCACAACATACCTCTACCTGCACCACAACATACCTCAACCCCAACACAACATACCTCTACCCCCACCACAACATACCTCGACCCCCACAACAACATACCTCTATGCCCACCACAGCATACCTCTACCCACCACAGCATACCTCTACCCTACTGCAACATACCTGTCCCCCACCACAACATATCTCTACCCCCACCACAACATACCTCTATTCCCCACCAGAGCACACCTCTACTCCCCACCACAGCACACTTCTATTCCCCACAAATTTAAGTCTGCCCGAAATGCCTAGCCATGCTAGGTGTTCTAGTGGTACACTCTGTAATTATTATTTTACTACATGTAAACCACACAATAACCAAATTCTGTAAACTCAGCATTGTAATCCTTATAGAGAATAAACTTTGAATTTGAATTTGACAGCATACCCCTACCCCACCACAACATACCTCTACCCCCCCCACAACATTCCTCTACCCCTACCACAGCACACCTCTACCCCAAACCCCAACAACTTCTACCCCCCACAACATACCTCTACCCCCACCAAAAGTGCACCTTACCCCACACCCCAAATACCTCTACCCCACCACAAAAATACCTCTACCCCCCCAAACATACCCCTACCCCCACCACCCGCATCCCCTACCCCCCACAGCATACCTCTACCCCACTGCAACATACCCCTACCCAACCACAAACATATCTCTACCCCCACCACTCATTTCCTTATTCCCCAACAGAGAAAACCCCTACTCCCCACCAGCACACCTCTATTCCCCACCACGCACACCCCCTATTCCCCACCACAGCATACCTCTACCCCCACTACAGCACACCTTACCCCCACCACAAGATACCCCTACCCCCCACAAGATACCTCTACCCCACCACAGCATACCCCTACCCCCACCAAGCATAACTCTACCCCCCACAAACATATCTCTACCCCCACAACATATTCTACCCCCCCCACAACATACATCTACTCCCTCCCCAACATACCTCTACTCCAACCACAACATATCTCTACCCCTACCAGAACATACCATTACCCCTAACAACATACTTTACCCCACCACAGCAATCTCTACCCCAGTGCACATAAAACTACCCACCACAGCATACCTCTACCCCTACAAAATCCTCTACCCCACCCCAGCATACCTGTACCCACACCACAAATATCTGTACCCCACCACAACATATCTGTACCCCCAACACAACATACCTCTATCCCCCAAAAACATACCTCTAAACAAACCACAACACACCTCTACCCCCCCACAGCATATCTCTAACCCACCAGAGCATGTCTCTACCCCACCACAACATACCTCTATCCCACCACAGCACACCTCTACACCCCCACAGCACACCTCTACCCCATCCCAGCATACCTTCTCCCCCCACAGCATACCTCTACCCCCCCACAACATACTTCTATTCCCCACTTACAGCACACCTCTATTCCTTTCCCACAGCACACCTCCACCCCCATCACAGCATACCTCTACCCCGTATATGTCTACCCTCAAAACAGCATTCCTCTTCCCCCTCACAACATACCTCTACCCCCACCCCAGCATACCTCTACCCCCACCACAACATACCTCTACCCCCCCCACAACATACCTCTACCCCCCCAAACTACCTCTGTCCCCCCCCACAACATACCTCTTCCAAAACCACAACATACCTCACTCCCACCACAGCACATCTCTACTCTCCCCCACAGCACACCTCTACCCCCCCCACAACATACCTCTATCCCCACCACAAAAATATCTGTATCCCCACAACAACATACCTCTACCCCAGCACCCGCATACCTCTACCCCCGCACCCGCATACCTCTACTCCAGCACAGCATACCTTAACCCCCCACAACATACCCTTTTGCCCCACCACAACATGCCTCTACCCCACCACAACATACCTCTATTCCCACCACAACACACCCGTACAACCCACCACAACATACCTCTACCCCCACCACAATATACTCTACCCCACCACTACACACTTTTACCTCACCACAAAATACCTTACCCCCCAACAACACACCTCTATCCCCCTCACAGCATACCTCTACCCCCAACATCATACCTTTACCACCACAACATACTCTACCCCCCCTAACATACCTCTACCCCCACCACAGCACACATCTTTCCCCACCATAACATACCTTACCCTCACCACAGCATGCCTCTACCCCCCCACAGCACACCCCTACCACCACCAAACATCCTCTACCCCCACCACAGCATACTTCTAACCCACCAGCTGCCTCTACCCCACCATAGCACACCTCTACCCCCCCACAACATACCTCTACACCCACTATAACATACCTCTACCCCTACCACAGCATACCTCTACCCACCACATCATACCTCTTCCCCCACCACAGCATACCTCTACTCCGCACCACAGCACACCTTCTCCCTATCACAGCATACCTCTTCTCCCCATCACATCACACCTCTTCTCCCCACCTCAGCACACCTCGACTCCCCACCACAGCACACCTCTTCTCTCCACCACAGCACACCTCTACCCCACCACAACATACCTCTACCTGCACAACAACATACCTCTACCCCACCACAACATACCTCTAACACCCCACTACAACATACCTCATACCCCCACCACAACATACCTTACCCCCACCACAACAAACCTCTACCCCCACACAGCATACCTCTACCCATCACAGCATACCTCTACCCCACTGCAACATACCTCTACCCCACCACAACATATCTCTACCCCTACCACAACATACCTCTATTCCCCACCAGAGCACACCTCTACTCCCCACCACAGCACACTTCTATTCCCCACGACAGCATACCCCTACCCCACCACAACATACCTCTACCCCACCACAAACATACCTCTACCCCTATCTACAGCACACCTCATACCCCACCACGACAAACCTCTACCCACCACAACAATACCTCTACCCCCACCATAACATACCTCTACCCCCACCATAACATACCTCTACCCCACCACAACATACCTCTACCCACTACAGCATACCTGTACCCCACTGCAACATACCTCTACCCACCACACAACATATCTCTACCCCCACCACAACATACCTCTATTCCCCACCAGAGCACACCTCTACTCCCCACCACAGCACACCTCTATTCCCCACCACAGCACACCTCTATTCCCCACCACAGCATACCTCTACCCCACCACAGCACACCTCTATTCCCCACCACAGCATACATCTACCCCCCCCCCCCCCACAGCAACATTTTGCTCGACAACGAGCCACAGCACCAATGGTAAGCTAAACTTCTAGGAGAACAGGAATGAGAGGTGCAGTGGAGTACACAGGTCTCCATAAACTGTACACACCCAGGGGTAATGCTTAGTCTTCACAGCTGCAGGCACACCACCATGGGAAGGCCCCAGCCATTGCATTCCAAGGCAATGATAAGCCATTTCTTAGAAAAAGTGTTCTCAGAAATTCCTTTCTCCATTAATTTTTTCGTTATTCTGCTATGACTTGTCATTACCTCAGCATCTGTAATCTTATAGCAGCCTTACCTTTGTCATCTGATGGTACTATTTGTAAGGAGTATATCCAGTCAACAATGTGCTCTCTTTCCTTTTTGGATATTTCCTGCAGGCCATCTAGAAGGTCCAGTCCAGAGAGTGCAAAGAAGAGCACTGTCATCCTACCCCCCAAAAAAGGTGAAATAAATTTAATTAGTGGGTTACAGCATTATAATTATTATTTTTTTCATGGGAGAGAACAAAACCTATAGGTGTCATACAGTACCTGTGGGAATGGGAAGCAATCAGTTTCAATCTAAGGAAGGGAAGATTAGATCCAATTTCTTGGATCAAGAACCCTTTACTGGCATCAAGGAATCTCCAGTGAAGGATGTGGGTTACCAGTTTATCAAATGTTATTGATAAATATCAATGCCACTAATGACCCAATTATATAAACAGAATTTCTTAAAGAATCAGCATCACAAAAAGACAATGTTACTGATCAGTCTAGATGATAAAGAGATAAAGGAAGGAAGGCTCTATAACATTTACCATATACATGTACTGATATATCTGTCAATAATTTCGAGGGCTATTCTACCCTCGACAGCCCAACCTAAGGCCAGACTTCTTTGTTACCTGCCTGGTCAACCAGGCTGTTTCTGCTACCAGCATAGCTATCACATTCTGGCTGATGGACACTTAGTAATATTATCTGAAAAGAATTGTAAAGATTCTTTAACCCGTTCACTGTTTCGGTCGTATATATACGTCTTACGCACTACTATTTCTGACATATTTACACGCATAAATTGTAGCGGCTTCAAATCAAGCGGGAGAAAGCTCATAGGCCCACATGTGAGAGAATGGGTCTGTGTGCTGAGTGTGCACCACATAAAAAAAATCCTGCAGCACGCAGTGCATAATGAGGAAAAAAAAATCTCTGATCGTTTTTTGGATTAAAATGCCGACTTTGAGGTGTATTTTCGTATAGTATTTATCGTTGTATTCTCGTTTTCATGGTCTCAGGTGATAAAATGGAAAACATACTACAGAAATAGAGATGATTTTGATTACTTTCACGATGAAAACAACCTTGAAATTGAGCTCAAAGTAGCGGAAATGTTCGATTTTTACCAATGTTCAGGAGTAAGCAAATCACACCACACGTCCAGTATACTTCAACTGGTGAGTCTAATATTCTTTCACTCATGCACTGATATTATTTATACCATTTTTACAATAATGCAGTAGTCTGCATAACAGTAAATTTGCATTTTTTTTTGTATGAATAAAAAATCAAAATAGAAAGCAATAGTAATATAAGAGGGGCCTAGAGACGTGACTAATGAACAGAGGATATGTTATTTTAGTGCCAAGAATGTCTTTCTTGTTTATTCTGGACCCTATTTTGAAATTGGCATCTTTTTTAATTTGCGCAAAATTGGCCAAATTGCCAATTTCTGACCACTTTATTGGGTAGTTCAAATCGGTAAATGGGCGGTTTCTTGTACTCAACGGATAGAAAAAAATGGAGTTCTAAACAAATAGCTATGAGTTTGGTCAACTGGAACAACAGAATTGGCCAAAAACAGGGCTCAAAGTCGGCAAGATCGCCGATGCGTATATGTCGCCGAGACTGCTAACTTTGCAGGAGCATAATTCCACGAGTTTTCGACCAAATTTCGTACTTTTGGTGTCATTACCATCGGGAAAAGATTCTCTATCATTTCATAAGAAAAAATAATTTATTTTTTTTCCCAAAATTTATCGACATAAAATGACAGTTTCAGAAAGGGGCCTGCGACAGTCAAAGGGTTAAGACTTGACCGATATGTTAAGGGAGTCAAAAAGAAAAACAGTTTACATTCTTAAAGTAAACCTTAAAGGACTAATTTCCTTCTGTAGTCTTAAGTTAAAGAGTCTGTTACAAGATGACAATGCTTAAAATAAAACATTAATAGTGCAGTGGTAGTATACTAGGCTCACATTTGAGAGGACCTACAGTGCTAGTCACGGCCTTATGCAGGGTGAGCACCCTAGCATAATGTCATGATGAAAATCAAAGGCCTACCATACAGGGGGTCTTTTTTTGTCAGTGCATTATGCCAGGTAGCAGCCATTAGCATGACGTCACGGCCTGCGGTCACACTCCACGGTGACTCCTCAATGCTCACGTGGCTGCCGTGGTGAGAGGAAGTGTTGCACTTTTGTCTCTCATCTGCCCCACCTTTTGTCTGGTGTTCCCTTTGGTTTTGGAGCTATACATGTTTGAGTATGTGCGAGCGTTCAGTGAGGAACTTGGTGCAGTTTCAAGGCTGGTGGCGGTGTCAAGTTACTGTCTACCAAACTTCAGCCTGGCCCCTAGTCACCACCAGGTTAAGAAATCGATCCTCTCCAAGCCACAGAAGAAATGTAGGCTGGATTATGCAAAGAAATATCTTCACTGGAATCCTCAACAGTGGTCTGAAGTACTTTGGAGTGATGAAGCAACCTTCACCATCACCTGTAACCGTTGGGGACATGTACCGGCCAAGAGGTAGTGACCCACTAGACCCACGCTACACCTGTGGAACCACCAAACACCCAGACTCGCTCACGGTTGGGAGGTGTTTCAGCACTCAGAGTATTACTGAACTCATTGTGCTTCCCAAAAGCCAGTATATGAACCAGTATAATTACCTGGAGTTAGTGTGTGGCAATTTACCTGAGGTGTTTGACAAATGTGGGGCTATGGTTTTTATGGAGGACAGTGCACAGTGTCATACCACCAAATCTGTAGTCCAGTGGCTGAAGGACTGTTAAGTGAGGTTCTTTAATGACTGGCCAGGCAATTCCCCAGACCTAAACCCTATTGAGAACCTCTGGTCAATAGTGAAACGAAGTTTACTGGGCAAGGATATCAGTTCCATCCCACGGCTAGAGGCTGCTCTACATGAGGCATGACATAATATACTTCCTCAAACCCTCAAGAATTTGTGCGAGAGTCTTCCTACATGGCTAAGGGACATGTTTAACCCTTTCAGGGTTGGTGCCGTACTAGTACGCGTAAATTCTAGCGGCTTCAAATTCAGCGGGAAACAGCTGGTAGGCCTTGATGTGAGAGAATGTGTCTGTGTGGTCAGCGTGTGCGGTAGGAAAAAATTCTGGGACCCAGTGGCGCATTGTGGAAATGCCATTTTAGTACACCTTGCTCACCACGCCTCGCGGTAAGAAACTCCTCACTCCTCGACGAATTGGGGCACTTCTGTTCCCCAGTGACAGTTCTAATACAGATGGAAGTGCCAGGGAAGATGAGTTTCAAGGTTTTGATAAGGTTGTGACCGAAAGTAATGATCATAATACTGGTAATAGTGAGGAAAACCCAGACGACCCTCAACCTTCCACTTCTGGTGTTGGGCTGTCTTATTCACGTTCAGGTGTACCAGAACGAAAGAGGAAACTCTTATTTTCTCATATCCAGGATTCAGATGTGAGCAATGGTGATGATAGTGACAGTGAATATGAGCTACAAGCTCTTGAAAACAGTTCCAGTAGCGACAGTGAAGTGGAATATTCTCCAGTGAAGCATCAGTATATACGACGGTATGTGCTCTCTGGTAGTGTGCCATATACTATTCCAAGGGGAAGGAGTACATCTCGGGGTACATCTCGTGGCTGTACAACAGGAACAGATAGTGAAAATGATGATGACAGTGTTGCAATTGCGACAGAAAATGTGCATGCATCTGGTGGTGGTAGTGGTGGTGCCAGCCATGAGGCACCAGCAGTGGGCCATGCTGCCACCCATGCTGCTGCCTCAGATGATCTATAACAAAGGCCACCATCCCCTACCCACCCACCACACCAGCCTCCACAACCACAACCACAACCTCCACAACCACAACCTCCACAACAACAACCACCTGTCAATATCCAGTACCCGCCAGCAGACCGCACCTGGGATTGGCAAGAAGCTGCCAATTTTGTTCCAAATCCCCATCAGTTTGATGAAAGCCAAAGTGGAATATGGCCATCTTGTACACTTGGGAACAATACCACTGAACTGGAATGTTTCAAGTTATTCTTTGACCAACCACTAATGGAAATTATTGTCAGGGAAAGCAACAGATACTTCGATTACACCATGGCAAACACAATACTTTCACCAAACTCACGCCTACACCAGTGGAAGGAGACAACTGTGGTTGAGATGTATCTTTTGTTTGCCACAATAATGCTTATGCCACATGTGCATAAGCACAGTGTCAAATCATACTGGTCGACACACCGCCTGATTGCAGCCCCAGGTTTCAGTGATATAATAGGAGTGAATCAATTTGTGCTACTATTACATATGCTTCACTTCTCAGATAAAACCAGGCCTGACAGAAACGACAGGTTATATAAGATTAGGAATGTGTTTGTGTATCTGACACAGAAATTCAATATGTATTTTTATCCCTTCAGGAAGCTTGTTATTGATGAGTCTTTGATTCTGTTCAAAGGAAGACTCTCATTCAAGCAGTACATACCAAGTACATGGTATAAAGTTGTTTGTACTTTGTGATTGCTACAGTGGTCTTGTATTGGATATACAGTGGACCCCCGCATAACGATATTAATCCGTTCATGAGAGCTCATTGTTATGCGAAATTATCGTTATGCGAATGAATTTTCACCATAAGAAATAATGGAAATCAAATTAATCTGTGCAAGACACCCCAAAGTATGAAAAAAAAACATTTTTACCACATGAAATATTAATTTTAATACACAGAAACTGAAAAAGGCATGCACAATTACATGACACTTACCTTTATTGAAGATCTGGTGATGATTGATGGGATGGGAGGAGGAGAGAGTCTTAATGTTTAGAAGGGGAATCCCCTTCCATTAAGACTTGAGGTGTCAAGTCCTTTTCTGGGGTTACTTCCCTTCTTCTTTTAATGCCACTAGGACCAGCTTCAGTCACTGGACTTCTGTCGCACAACATATCTGTCCATAGTGGCCTGTACCTCTCGTTCCTTTATGACTTCCCTAAAGTGTTTCACAACATTGTCAGTGTAATAGTCACCAGCATGGCTTGCAAAAAGCTGTGTGAGGGTGATTTTTCATCCATAAAGGCTTGCACTTTCAGCCACATTGCACAGATTTCCTTAATCTTTGTAGTAGGCAACTTCTTCAATTTCTCTCTCCC